TCCTGTACCCCCACCACCCCTCCTGTCCCCCCACCACCCCTCCTGTCCCCCCACACCCCTCCTGTACCCCCACCACCCCTCCTGTCCCCCCAATGCAATCGGAAACATTGAAGTGGAATTCGTGACATATTTAGTGTATGTTGCTATTATGTGAAACAGATGGCGCTGTTTTTCAAAAACCCATGTTTTTACCTGTCACAGGGGTGGCATCTATATAGTAGGTATATAAAACCACACGCCTATTCGAATGCAACGTTGTGTCAAAATTTCAAAACTTACCTAACGTTTTGAAATTTAGGTAAGTTTAATTTCCTACCTAGTTAATGGTAGGTACGACATATTATATATATATATATATATATATATATATATATATATATATATATATATATATATATATATATATATATATATATATATATATATATATATACATATATATATATATATATATATATATATATATATATATATATATATATATATATGTCGTACCTAGTAGCCAGAACGCACTTCTCAGCCTACTATGCAAGGCCCAATTTGCCTAATAAGCCAAGTTTTCATGAACCAATTCTTTTTCGACTACCTAACCTACCTAACCTAACCTAACTTTTTTGGCTACCTAACCTAACCTAACCTATAAAGATAGTTTAGTTTAGGTTAGGTAGGGGTTGGTTAGGTTCGGTCATATATCTACGTTAATTTTAACTGCAATAAAAAATAATTGACCTCATACATAATGAAATGGGTAGCTTTATCATTTCATCAGAAAAAATTAGAGATAATATATTAATTCAGGAAAACTTGGCTTATTAGGCAAATCGGGCCTTGCATAGTAGGCTGACAAGTGCGTTCTGGCTACTAGGTACTATATATATATATATATAATATATATATATATATATATATATATATATATATATATATATATATATATATATATATATATATATATATATATATATATATATATACGTTTTGTAACCATGTGGTTGAAAGTATCAATATGTAGTAATAGAGCCCCCAGTAAGCCACTTTTTGTAGTTGTTTTATGGAGTCCGGAAGAAAATGAAACGAAAAACCAAACATTAATATTCCTAGGCCTAGTATAGCACACACGTGTACTATATTAAGCCTCATATAGTGTGTCTTAGGCTTAGGATGGTTAGGTTAGGTTTTAAGCCAGGGAAAATAAAAAAAAAACTTTGCCGGTTTGTTCAAATTCAATACTACTAAAGTGTACTTTCTGGTGGTCCATCACGACATAGGTGTACTTTCTGGTGGTCCATCACGACACAGGTGTACTTTCTGGTGGTCCATCACGACACAGGTGTACTTTCTGGTGGTCCATCATGATATAGGTGTACTTTCTGGTGGTCCATCACGACACAGGTGTACTTTCTGGTGGTCCATCACGACACAGATGTACTTTCTGGTGGTCCATCACGACACAGATGTACTTTTTGGTGGACCATCACGACACAGATGTACTTTCTGGTGGTCCATCACGACACAGATGTACTTTCTGGTGGTTCATCACGACACAGATGTACTTTCTGGTGGTCCATCACGACACAGATGTACTTTCTGGTGGTCCATCACGACACAGATGTACTTTCTGGTGGTCCATCGCGACACAGGTGTACTTTCTGGTGGTCCATCACGACGTAGGTGTACTTTCTGGTAGTCCATCACGACACAGGTGTACTTTCTAGTAGTCCATCACGACACAGGTGTACTTTCTGGTGGTCCATCACGACGTAGGTGTACTTTCTAGTAGTCCATCACGACACAGGTGTACTTTCTAGTAGTCCATCACGACACAGATGTACTTTCTGGTGGTCCATCACGACACAGATGTACTTTCTGGTGGTCCATCACGACACAGGTGTACTTTCTGGTAGTCCATCACGACACAGGTGTACTTTCTAGTAGTCCATCACGACACAGATGTACTTTCTAGTAGTCCATCACGACACAGGTGTACTTTCTAGTAGTCCATCACGACACAGGTGTACTTTCTAGTAGTCCATCACGACACAGGTGTACTTTCTGGTAGTCCATCACGACACAGATGTACTTTCTGGTGGTCCATCACGACACAGATGTACTTTCTGGTGGTCCATCACGACACAGATGTACTTTCTGGTGGTCCATCACGACACAGGTGTACAGTGCTGGTGGTCCATCACGACAATGGTCCTACAAGTACTTCCACTTTATATGAGGATAGGCTAAAATATCTAGATATCTATACAATAGGAAAATGTCTATCTGTCCAAAGTTGGAGGACAAATTCTTATTTGGGGTAATTATCCATCTTCATCCAAATTTAAAGAGAGAATGGTTTGGGGTCCAGTATGAGCTCAGGCTGATCGAGCTCGCTACACGGATAAATATTTTTTATAGTTATGTACATAATTATTCACTGATCTCAGGAAAAAAAATCTTGCGGTTCAAAATTTGTCCGTACTCGCATGAAAGAGATGATCATCCTACAGCGTGAAAGGTTTCTCAAGCCACTCCGCTTTCTACGAACAAAGATGAAACTATTTTATTTTATTGATAATTCATACCACTGAGCTTCTCTTACCCACACATTGGACAATTGTATTTTTTTTAGAAAAGACAGAGAGAGAGAGACAGAGAGACTGAGAGAGACACTAGAGAGACTGAGAGAGAGAGAGGGAGAGAGAAAGAGAGAGAGACAGAGAGACAGAGAGAGACAGAGATACCGAGAGACAGAGAGAGAAAGAGAGAGAGAGAGAAAGAGAGAGACAGAGAGACAGAGAGACAGAGAGAGACAGAGAGACAGAGAGAGAGAGAGACTGAGAGAGAGAGAGACACACACACACACAAATAGACACCGAGACAGAGACAAACGGAGAAAACACACACACACACACACAGTGACTTACACTCATAGACAGAGACAAAGGCAGTTACAGTAGATAGCGGGATGGAGAGATAGATGGATGGACAGATGGATAGATAGGTTGATTGATAGATGAATAGATGGATGGATAGGATAGATGATATACAACACTATACATGATATACAGCAGCCGAGTGGTTGATATGTATACAGAGAAGTGTACTCAGCTTGCCTGGAAACACAAACCGTAACTGTCTCTATTTTCTGCTTGTTACAACTTGTAATAAAGTTCTTACATTTTGGCTTAACGTGTTTATGATGTATTAGAACGTTGTTACAACATGCTATATTGGTTGTTATAACTGGTTAGGAGATGTTAAAAATTGTTCGAACGTTGTAGCAACGTCGTAGTTTCGGCGTGTGTTTGGTGGGAATTAATTTTCGGTGTGTGTGCACCGAGAGAGTAGTATAAAAGAAGACTTAATGGAACAATTTTAATTTTTTCGACATCACCCTTCAGTCTCCTACTATTTTGTATTTATATATACAAGAGTTCTTACATTCTTGTACAGCCACTAGCACGCATAGCGTTTTGGGCAAGTCCTTAACCCTAATTTCCCCGTAATACGACCCGCCAAATTGTTTAACAACCAGGTACCTATTCACTGCTGGGTGAAATGTCGCTACAGTTAAGGACTGGCGCCCAGTCAATCCTCCCCGGTCAGGATACGAACCAAGGCCAAAGCGCCCGCGAAACGCCAAGCGAGTGTCTTATCACTTCGTCACAGGGGACTACTTTTTCAGTCACTTGGAGTCTGCACCCTTCCATCATACCAAAGTGTCCCGTCAACCTCGGTAACGGCATCCTTCAGTCACCCCTAATGTTCAATGACATCATCAGCCAGCTAGTCTTCGTCCTCCCTCAATAAGTCCGTTTTCAATGATTGCGTAATAATTCCCATAATTCAAAGATTGATTATTTCTAGTCAAAAGTTTGCATATTAAACATAAGAATGAAACTGCAGAAGGTCATTTGGGACCATAAATCTACTATTTATTTCCCCCCACCCCATGTTGAACCAATCATTAATGGCCACTATGAAATGAAATAAACTGCAGAAGGCCTATACATAAGAAGCAAGGGAATAATGCAATGTTCACACCTGTACTTACCAATGTCTTACCTGATGTCAAGTATGTTCTCCTATTACACAGAGAAATCACATTATTGTAATATATCAATGAGAAAATCCACAGGAGCCATAATGAGGGTTCGAACCTTTGCACCGAGTTCGAACCCTCATCACAGCTCTTGTGGATTTCCTCATATACCCTATTGTTACCCCTTTTATATCCGTTTATCTTTAATCATATCGCATATCTAGGGGTAATATACCCTTATTATGCCCATTCATCCAGTTGTACATTTTACTCTTTATGCCTAACTATTTGTTCCAATTCTTTTCAGTAACAAGTAGAGACAATATATATTGTAAGAGATTGTTATTGCCCTCAGCCAAAGATTGTTTATTTGTATTTAATATTTGTTTAGTGTATAGTCAAAGATGGTCCATCTGTTTGAACATATGAATGAATGAAATTGTCTATATCCTGTGATCATGTCAAAATGCACGTTAAAATCTCCAAGCTAGCAGCGCAGATATATATTTCAAGAGTCTTACTGTAGCCCTGAAGTTCATAGAATTGCCTCTTAGAGTATCAATTGAATCTCATTCTTTAATGAGGGTATTTAGCACATTCTGCCTCGTATTCTGGTCTCGTTATTCATCAATTGAGTTTAGTAATCTATCACCAAATATTTTCCTGGAGGAAATAATTATGTATTATTCTCTGCCCCTACCACACGCCTGAGCTGACCGTGTCTTCTCTGCCCCTACCACACCCCTGAGCTGACTGTGTCTTTTCTGCCCCTACCACACCCCTGAGCTGACTGTGTCTTCTCTGCCCCTACCACACCCCTGAGCTGACTGTGTCTTCTCTGCCCCTACCACACCCCTGAGCTGACCGTGTCTTCTCTGCCCCTACCACATGCCTGAGCTGACCGAGTCTTCTCTTCCCTTACTATACGCTTGAGCTGACCGTGTCTTCTCTGCTCCTCCCACAGCCTGCCACCACACCAGCTCTCCTCGGCTGCGCTGCTGCCCGACACTCCTGACGTGGACCCATGTCTGGCCGGGCTAGATCTCGGTGCTGATATGCTCAGGGCCCGTCAGCCTCCCCCGTCTGTGTGGGACTGTCTGGTCTCCTGCCACAACCGCCTCGGCCAGCGCCTCGCCAGGAAGAGGGTAAGTAACACACACACACACACACACACATAGAAGATTTCTGGACCTGTAAATTGTAGACCTCATCCTGGAAACATTCTTGTATCAACATGTTAAACAAGGTACGAGGATAAGGGAAGGGGACGTCCCCTCCATGCTAAATTTGATATTTACCAGGAAGGAGGAAGAAATATTTGACATTCAGTACCTTCCTCCCTTGGGTAAAAGTGACCATGTCTTTTTGGGAATAAAGTATGCAATGCGTTATAATCTGGAAGACAATAAGAAGGTTGATGCAATTGAAAAACCTGACTTTAGGAGAGGACATTATGGCAACCTTAGAATTTTTTTTAGTGAGTATAATTGGACAGACTTGTTGCCAGGCAAGGAAGTGAATGAGATGTATGTCAAGTTTTGTGAAATATATGATAACGGCACAACAAAATTTATACCAAGACAGAGATGCAGAACTAGGAAACAGGATTGGTTCAATAGAAATTGCAAGAGGGCCAGAGACCAAAAGACACAAAAATGGAATCAATACAGGAAGAGGCCAAACCCCCAAACATACCAGCGATACAAAGATGCGAGAAACAACTACACGGCAGTGAGGAGAGAGGCAGAAAGAAATTTTGAAAAAGGGATTGCAGACAAATGTAAAACAGAACCAGGTCTATTCTATAAATTCATAAACAACAAATTGCAGGTAAAGGATAATATTCAGAGGTAAAAATGGGAAATAGATTCACGGAAAATGAAAAAGAAATGTGTGAAACATTAAACGAAAAGTTCCAAAGTGTGTTTGTGCAAAATGAAATCTTCAGGGAACCAGACACAATAAGAATTCCAGAGAGCAACATAGAGCACATAGAGGTGTCTAGAGACGAAGTGGAAAAAATGCTCAAGGAGCTAAATAAGAACAAAGCAGTTGGTCCAGATGGAGTTTCACCATGGGTTCTGAGAGAATATGCATCTAAGCTCAGCATTCCATTTCAACTGATTTTTCAGGCATCCATGTTTACAGGAGTTGTAGCTGATGTGTGGAAAAAGGCTAACATAGTTCCAATCTACAAAAGTGGAAGCAGGGAAGATCCCCTTAATTATAGACCTGTATCATTGACAAGTGTAATAGTCAAAATATTGGAAAAAATAATTAAAACTAAATGGGTAGAACACCTGGAGAGAAATGATATAATATCAGACAGATAGTATGGTTTTCGATCTGGAAGATCCTGTGTATCGAATTTACTCAGTTTCTATGATCGAGCAACAGAGATATTACAGGAAAGAGATGGTTGGGTTGACTGCATCTATCTGGACCTAAAAAAGGCTTTCGACAGAGTTCCACATAAGAGGTTGTTCTGGAAATTGGAAAATATTGGAGGGGTGACAGGTAAGCTTCTAACATGGATGAAAAATTTTCTGACTGATAGAAAAATGCAGGCAGTGATCAGAGGCAATGTATCGGACTGGAGTAATGTCACAAGTGGAGTACCACAGGGTTCAGTTCTTGCACCAGTGATGTTTATTGTCTACATAAATGATCTACCAGTTGGTATACAGAATTATATGAACATGTTTGCTGATGATGCTAAGATAATAAGAAGGACAAGAAACTTAGATGATTGTCATGCCTTTCAAGATGACCTGTACAAAATAAGTATATGGAGCACCACTTGGCAAATGGAATTTAATGTTAATAAATGCCATGTTATGGAATGTGGAATAGGAGAAAACAGACCCCACACAACCTATATATTATGGGAGAAATCTTTAAAGAATTCTGATAAAGAAAGAGATCTAGGGGTGGTTCTAGATAGAAAACTATCACCTGAGGACCACATAAAGAATATTGTGCGAGGAGCCTATGCCACGCTTTCTAACTTCAGAATTGCTTTTAAATACATGGATGGCGATATACTAAAGAAATTGTTCACGACTTTTGTTAGGCCAAAGCTAGAATATGCAGGGGTTGTGTGGTGCCCATATCTTAAGAAGGACATCAACTGGAAAAGGTGCAAAGACATGCTACTAAGTGGCTCCCAGAACTGAAGGACAAGAGCTACGAGGAGAGATTAGAGGCATTAAATATGCCAAAACTAGAAGACAGAAGAAAAAGAGGTGATATGATCACTACATACAAAATAGTAACAGGAATTGATAAAATCGATAAGGAAGATTTCCTGAGACCTGGAACTTTAAGAACAAGAGGTCATAGATATAAACTAGCTAAACACAGATGCCGAAGATATATAAGAAAATTCACTTTCGCAAACAGTTTTTTTTTTTTATTATTATTATTTTCTACCACAGACGTGGCCACACATTTACAATGCTAACCAGCATATATACATTTTCTTCTGTCCTCCATGGACAGGGTTAGAGATGTGTTAAACATATAGTTCAAGGGTTTATTTGGTAGACGAGTGGAACAAGTTAGGTGAGAAGGTGGTGGAGGCGAAGACCGTCAGTAATCAGTAACCCAAAATCCTCTGAGACCCTGCAAACCACCTCACAGATCCTCTCACCCACGGAACAGCTTCCCACACCAGCAGAATGCTCGCCAAGAAAGGGACATGAAAATGAACAGAAGAAAGTGAGCTTCAAGGCGATGTACACTAACATAGAAGGGATTTCAAATAAAACAAGTGAACTTGGAGAATGGGCACTAGAAGAAAACCCAGACATAATAGCACTCACAGAAACAAAGCTAACGAAAATCATAACAAACGCAGTTTCCACAGGGCTACTATGTAGTGAGGAAAGAGAGAGAAGGGAGAGAAGGAGGTGGTGTAGCTTTGCTACTAAGAGAAGGTTGGAGTTTTGAAGAGATGGTAATTCAGAACTGTAAAGGTTTCAGTGACTACATATCAGGCACCATAGCAACTGGAGGACAGAAAATTATAATAGTAGTCATATATAACCCCCCACCAAATGACAGAAGACCCAGACAGGAATAATATGATAGAAACAACTTGGCCACCATCAATATACTAGAGAGAGCAGCTTCTGTGGCTAGCAGGAACGGATCCAGACTTCTAATCATGGGAGACTTCAACCATGGGAAGATAGATTGGGGGAACAGAGACCCACATGGAGGCCCAGACACATGGAGAGCTAAGCTGCTGGATGTGGCAACAAGAAACTTTCTAAGCCAACACGTCAAGGGACCGACAAGAATGAGAGGAGGGGATGAACCAGCCTTGCTTGATCTGATATTTACCCTAAATGAGTCGGATATAAGGGAAGTTAAGTTGGAAGCCCCATTGGGAATGAGTGATCATAGTGCATTGAAATTTGAGTACCTGGTTGAGCTGGGAATTATCACCCCCAAAAAAGAACTGGGAACCAAAGGGCTGGCGTACCGAAAGGGAAACTATGAGGAAAGGAATAAATTCCTATGGGATATACATTGGGACACAGAACTCGAAACCAAGTCCGTACAAGACATGATGGACTATGTCACCCAAAAATGTCAGGAGGCTGTAAGCAGGTTTGTCCCAGGCCGACAGGAAAAAACAGAGAAGCAAAGGAAGAATCCGTGGTTTAATAGGGAATGAATGAAAGCAAAGGAGCTGAACAAAAGGGCATGGAGGAACTTCCGTAATAACAGAACACCAGAAAGTAGAGAGAGATACCAGAGAACCAGGAACGAGTATGTTAGTGTGAGAAGAGCAGCTGAGAAAAGGTATGAAAATGATATAGCTAATAAAGCCAAGACCGAACCAAAGCTACTACACAGTCACATCAGGAGGAAGACAACAGTGAAGGAACAGGTGATGAAACTTAGGGTGGGCTAGGACAGGTACACAGAGAATGACAAAGAGGTGTGTGAAGAACTTAACAAAAGGTTCCAGGAGGTCTTTATAGAACAGGGAGATGTCACGGCGCTAGAAGAGGTGGCAGCAAACCAGGTGACCTTGGATAGGTTCGAAATTACAAGAGATGAGGTCAAGAAGCACCTATTGGAGCTGGATGTGAGAAAAGCTGTTGGGCCGGATGGAATCTCGCCATGGGTATTGAAAGAGTGTGCAGGAGCACTTTGCTTACCACTCTCCATAGTGTATAGTAAGTCACTGGAAACGGTGGACCTACCAGAAATATAGAAGACTGCTAATGTAGTACCAATATACAAAAAGGGTGACAGACAAGAGGCACTGAACTACAGGCCAGTGTCCTTAACTTGTATACCATGCAAGGTGATGGAGAAGATTGTGAGAAAAAACCTAGTAACACATCTGGAGAGAAGAGACTTCGTGACAACCCATCAACATGGGTTCAGGGAGGGTAAATCTTGCCTTACAGGCTTAATAGAATTCTACGATCAGGTGACAAAGATTAAACAAGAAAGAGAAGGGTGGGCGGACTGCATTTTTTTGGACTGTCGGAAAGCCTTTTACACAGTACCCCATAAAAGGTTGATGCATAAGCTGGAGAAACAGGCAGAAGTAACTGGTAGGGCGCTCCAGTGGATAAGGGAGTCCCTAAACAATAGGAAGCAGAGAATTACAGTGAGGGGTGAGACCTCAGACTGGCGTGAAGTCACCAGTGGAGTCCCACAGGGCTCTGTACTTGGACCTATACTGTTTCTGATACACGTAAATGATCTCCCAGAGGGTATAGACTCATTCCTCTCAATGTTTGCTGACGACGCCAAAATTATGAGAAGGATTAAGACAGAGGAGGACAGCTTGAGGCTTCAAGAAGACCTAGACAAGCTGAAGGAATGGTCAAACAAATGGTTGTTAGAGTTTAACCCAAGCAAATGTAATGTAATGAAGATAGGTGTAGGGAGCAGGAAGCCAGATACAAGGTACGATCTGGGAGATGAAATACTTCAAGAGTCAGAGAAAGAAAAAGACTTTGGGGTTGATATCATGCCAGACCTGTCTCCTGCAGCCCATACCAAGAGGATAACATCAGCGGCATATGCCAGGCTGGCCAACATATGAACGGCATTCAGAGACTTGTGTAAGGAATCATTCAGAACTTTGTATACCACATATGTCAGGCCAATCCTG